GGCGCTCAATGTTCTTCACTTTTATGTTGAAACTGGTGAACAACATACCTCCATTCACTTACAGTACGCTGGTTGTAAAACCAGTAATCTGAAATTCCCCAAAATGTATAAGCATTCCAGGAAGATGATTGTTGGCTTTCACCCTAAATTTCAGCTTTCTACCTTTATTCCTTCATGGTCAGGTAAAAATCTGTTGGTATGCACCTCGTAATTGCAGGTTCAGAAAAGATCTTCAGTTGTTTCTAGACACTGTTGTGATGGATATGGAACACGGGGGGGGGGGAGTATCTTTAAATCTACAGAAAACAAAATGCCTAATAAGCCTAATATCTTATTTTTAAAAAGCAGTAAATCGTATTATGATTTTATAAGCAAATGTGATAGGTTCAAACAAGTTCAAAAGTTCACATATCAAGAATATAGCCGATGACAAATGTACCACACAAATAATGCGGAGAACTGCAATAGTTAAAAAGAGTTTCAATGGCAATGAGTCCAATCCTGAAAAAGAAACCTATCGATGACAACCAAAATAAGAATTTTAAAACACTGTGGGTGGCCAATACTTCTACAATGTATACATGGCTATAAATACTGGAAATAACCAAAAAATATACAAATCAGATAGAAGCAACAGAGATGTGGTTCCTTAGGAGACTTGTGACAATTTAGTGAAAAGAAAGTTAAACGGTATAGGTTTAATGCCCTTGACCTTGACCATCAATGATTTATTTATAGAGGCACCAGCCATCCATGTCCAGGTGCTGTTTTAGCCTCTTTTTCCTGTCTGCGGATTAATAATATTTTGTTGCCAATTTATTGGTTCCGCTTCTATGTACCCCATATATATGGTTCTCAATGGTTTAACGCCCCTACGAACACTGTTATGTTATTTAAGAGGCCGGACCTCCGAGTTAAACGTCCATCTCCGAAAGGACCGAACCAAGTGGGAAGTTCGTATTAAGTGCCTTTCCCACGGACACAACGTCGGACCGAGCTGAGACTCGAACCCCGGGCCCGCAATCTCAATCTCACGATTACGAGTCCGGTAGCTTGACCACAAGGCTACCGAGGCCACCCGAAATGAAGTGATGCTGAAAGAAGCCAACGCGGGCCGCTCACTAATAAAAATAATTGGGAAGAGACACAACATACACGGTTTATGGGAGACTTGAGTTTCTCATTTTAAAGCCTTGAACACCTTCCTCTCTGTGGAAAAATAGAAGACAAAAGAGGTTAGGTAGACCACGAGCTGCTTTCTGTCCGTACGTCGTGTTTTACTATCGTATCCATACGACCTGGGAAACTCAGTGCTACCACTTTTCAAAGAGGAAATTTACTCGCTAATCCGATCTATAAGCTATGCATAGCAGTCTGTCAAAATGATTTATTTTTTTTTAGAAATACTGAAAGTTTCAAAGAAATCTTCGTACTAAAAGTATTCTAAAATTTGAAACATACAACCCTGGGGGTACAAAATGACCCCAGGGCGTACGGATAGAGTTAAACAACATGATTATATAGGCGTTGGTAATCAATCTAGTGGTGAGGCTACTGGCCTCGTAGTTCTAAGATTGCTGGTCTGAGGGCTCGAGCCCCAGGCCCGACTTTGTGTCTTTGGGAAAGGCACTTTACATGACCTTTCTAAGCTTCACCCAGGTGGGAATGGATACCCGGCTACAGACAACGAAAGATCTTTAAGTACATGTATGTTAGTGTTTAACACCTTTATAATGGCAACTTGCACTATATGCTTCCCAGGAAACTGAGATTGCTTCAGAATACGATCAGGTCTGCTGGGGTGATAATATTACAGATCGTAAAGCACATAGAGCTTGCTGTTGAATAGGAATTTGCGCTATACAAATACTATCTATTAGCAATATACTATAATATCGATGACGGGGAAAGACCCACGACAATGCAAGTTTTGGGAGCATTTGAGCAGGGACTGGCACTTCATTGTGACGACAACAAAAGTAACTTCATGGTGTCTAAAAAAAAACAAGAACCTATTTAATGGGCAATATCTCAAGTTGTCTTTGGGCCAATTTCAACAAAACTTTAAAAAATAATAATAGATAAATAAAATTCGACTAAAGGGTCGTCAAATCTTTATAAAGGAAAAAAATCAATCTGCACGTTCGAGAACAAATAAGTTTTTAAAAGATAAAATTACGTCGAAAGGCAAAACTTTACATCTTAAAAGTGTTCAGCTACAGAGGTGGGGTCGGCCTGAAATGGTTTCAGAAGGTGGACGGCAAAAGCACGATCTCCACATTATCTATATCTCTCTGAGCAGAAAAATTTATGGAGAAGTTGTTGTTGCTGTATTTGTTGTTGTTGTTGTTGTTGTTGTTGTTGTTGTTGTTGTTGTTGTTGTTGTTGTTGTTGTTGTTGTTGTTGTTGTTGTTGTTGTTGTTGTT